GGGGGGGGGGGGGGGGTAGGTGGTTAGAAGGCTTGGCAATTTACTAAAATGTCCCAATATGCTGATGCTGAGACTCTAGAAAGAGTACAGAGAAGAGCAACAAAGATGATTAGGGGACTGGAGGCTAAAACATATCAGGAATGGCTGCTGGAATTGGGGATGTCTAGTTTAACGAAGAGAAGGACGAGGGGGGACAGGATAGCAGTCTTCCAATATCTCAGGGGCTGCCCACAAAGAAGAGGGAGTCAAGCTATTCTCCAAGGCGCCTGAAGGCAGACAAGAAGCAACGGATGGAAACTCATCAAGGAGAGAAGCAACCTAGAACTAAGGAGAAACTTCCTGACAGTGAGAACAATTAACCAGTGGAACAACCTGCCTCCAGAAGCGGTGAATGCTCCAACACTGGAGGTTTTTAAGAAGAGACTGGACAGCCATTTGTCCGAAATGTTGTAGAGTTTCCTGCCTGAGCAGGGGTTGGAGTAGATGACCTCCAAGGTCCCTTCCAACGTTATTATTATAATATAGAAAATAATCAAATGGAGGTATAGTCCTCAACGGAGGGTTAACTGGGACATGAATTTCCATTGGGAAATTCCATTGGCGATTGTTCCGTCATTCATGCTCAATTATTTTTTTTACAAACTTTGGATTACTAAGCAAATCACCGCAGCCGTAAAGTGAATCACGAGGTCCTTAAGCGAACCGGGCTTTCCAGATTGAGTTTGCTTCTCAGAAGCTGGCTAGGAAGTTCGCCAATGGCTTTGGGACGCCGCAAACATTGTAAATTCATACTGGATGCCAAGTGCCTGAATTCTGATCACAGGACCCTGGGGATGCTACGGTGGTCGTAAGGGTGAGGACCGCTCATAAGTCACTTTTTTCAATGCCACTGTAACTTGGAACGGCCGCTAAACGAATCATTATAAATCAAGGACGACAGGTGGTTGAAGTTACAACGGCACTGAAAAAGAGTGACTTACGACCATTTTTCAGACTTAGGATTGTTGCCGCATCCCACAGTGATTTACATTCAGGTCCTTGACAACTGACTCACCTTTATGACGGTTGCAGTGTCCCGGGGTCATGTGACCCCTTTTGCAAACCTTCTGACAAGCAAAATCAATGGGGGAACCAAATTCACTTAACAACCGGGTTACTAATTTAACGACTGCAGGGATTCGCTTAACAAATGTGGCGAGGAAAAGTCGTAAAATGGGGCAAGACTCACTTCACAAATGTCTCACTTAGCAACGTACACTTTGGGCTCAATTGTGGTCGTACGCCGAGGACTTGCCTGTACTTGTATAAGGCATTCCTGACAGGTCTAACAAAGAGTAATCTAACTGAATTCAATTCTGCTTCCCGCACATCCCACTGGACACGTTTCTGGGCAAAGCTTCCAAGTGAAATAAGAATTTCAGGATTTCCAGGGACTTCCAAACAGCTTGCATAATACAAAGATTGTGATACAGGTAGTCCTCCATTTACAACCATCAGTGACCATTAGAAATTACGACGGCACCGGAAAAAGTGACATGACCGCTTTTCCAGACTTACAACGGCTGCAGCGTCCCTGTGTTCACAGGATCCAAATTCGGACACTTGGCAACGGATTCATATTTACGACGGCTGCAGCCTCCTGGGGTCATGTGATCCCCTTTTGCAACCTTCCGACACGCAAAGTCAATGGGGAAGAAGCCAGATTCACTTTACAACCGTGTTACTAACTTAACAACTGCAGCAAGTCACTTGGCAACTGTGGCAGGGAAAGATGGAAAAATGGGAGCAAAACTCAACTTAACCCCTGCCTCACTTAACAACAGAAATCTTGGACTCAGTTGTCGTCATAGGTTCAAGACAATTTATATTCCTAAGTGCAAAAGGCCCCAAGTTGCTCACACCTTCCGAAGCAGCCTGTCTGCTTCTACTACGATTTTCTGTGATCCATTGGGTCCATAAGATCTTTTCAGAAGAGGGCTTCTTGTCCCCCCCCCAGACAGGAAATAAATCTGTTCCTTTTTCAACTGCATTATTTCCAGCAAAGCCAGCTTCTCCACAGACTCTGTCAGCATTGAAAAGGATCTTGAGAGAGAAAGGAATATTATTTTGTTGTTGTTTTTTCCTCTCTCTGCTTGCCAGCAATCTTCCTTTGTGAGCTCCTGGCAGAGGGAACAAAACATCCAGATGGCGTTCTTGCTGGGGGTTCCAGATGGCCCGCTTGGTTATGGAGATAACAGATCACCTCACCTTTGGATTGTGCTCCCTTCAAGAAGGGTGGGAAGAACGGTGAGCGTGCCCAGGAATTTAAATCAGAGGAAGGGCTGGACAGAGTGGCTATGTTCAGACATAACACAAATGCGGGATTGTTATATGTCTATGGAGATTCGCAGTCATCCAGGTCCTGGTTGTCCCAAAAGGGGCTTTTTCCAGAGGCAACTGGACTTCCTTCGTTTTTCCTTGAAGATCTTTCTCTTCTCATCCAAGAAGCTTCTTCAGTTCTGACAGTCACTGACTTTGGGCTAATTACCAGGAGACAGAGTTCTAGTCCTGCCTTAGACATGCAAGCCAGCTGAGTGACAATGGGCCAGTCCCTTATTCTCAGGGTTGTTGTTGTTGTTGTGGGGAAAACAGAAGGAAGATGTGTTGGATAGGTTGTCCCCTTGAGTTATTTGCAAAAGTAATAAAGGCAGGGATATAAATAAATAAATACAAGCATATATGTGGTATCTACCAGCATCGAACAGGCAAACAAAAACCCCTCACCCTTTGGGGTGATCTCCAACATAGGGCCCCCTCACCTGGCAGGCCCACTTTCGGCCTTAGCAGCACCTCCAGAGTCGCTTTATCGTAGATTTCCTTGCTGACCTTCACTTCTGTGGGTCCGTACACCCCGACTAACACAGAGGTATCCCCTGAAAATAGCCAGAAAAAAAAAGAAAGGCTTTAAATATGCTCCTAGCAGCTGAATTGTGGAAATGAGGGAATTTATAGAAAATTTATCTACTCTAAATTTCTCTTTTGGGAGGGAAACTGACCTGCGGCACAAATATGTTGAATTGCTAATAACTGGAAGAGTTGAAATGTAGCGAAAGTTATCCAAAGGATAACTTTGGCATCCTCCACGATTTTCAAAAGGGGGGTTGCTGCAAATAACCCCGGGAGTCGGAAGTCCACACGTCCTAAAATGG